AAAAAGTTTTTTGTTTTTAAATCCAAGCTATTGTGACAACAGATGTAATTGGTGGCACTGACTGGGGAAATGGGCACTGTGAGCCTGACACAGAAGCTGGCAGCAGTGGCAGACAACTAAGTGCATTTACATTACATAGAAAAATAAAATTAAAAAAAAAGCATACCCTTATCCCTAACCTAGCTATGCTTTTCCCTATCTTATGAACAGCAGCTACACTTTCCCTCCTCTTACTAAGCATGCAGCTTGAGAATGAATCTAAAATGGATGCTGTCCAGTAGGTGGGAGGGTCTGCTAGGGAGGCTGTGCTGCTAATTGGCTGTAATGTGTCTGCTGACTGTGAGGTACAGGGTCAAAGTTTACTCAATGATGACGAATAGGGGGCGGGTCGAACCGCGCATATGTTCGCCCGCCGTGGCGAACGCGAACATGCTATGTTCGCCAGGAACCGTTCGCCGGCGAACCGTTCGGTACATCACTACTTATCAATAAACTGCAATATTTAAGTTTAGATTCCAATATTGTTGAATGGGTAAGGCAGTGGCTGAGTGACAGGCAATAGAGGGTTGTAGTTAATGGAATATATTTGAAGCTTGGACTTGTCACCAGTGGGGTACCTCAGGGATCTGTACTTGGACCTATTCTCTTTAATATTTTTATTAGTGATATTGCAGAAGGTCTTGATGGTAAGGTATATCTTTTTGCTGATGATTCTAAGATATGTAACAGGGTTGATGTTCCAGGAGGGATAAGCCAAATGGAAATGATTTAGGTAAACTAGAAAATTGGTCAGAATTGTGGCAACAATTCCTCAATGTGGATAAGTGCAAGATAATGCATCTTAGATATAAAAGCCCAAGGGCAGAGTACAGAATATTTGATAGAGTCCTAACCTCAACATATGAGTAGTGATGTCGCGAACACGAAATTTTCGGTTCGCGAACGCGAACTTCCACAAATGTTTGCGAACCGGGCGAACCGCCATAGACTTCAATGGGCAGGTGAATTTTAAAACACACAGGGACTCTTTCTGGCCACAATAGTGATGGAAAAGTTGTTTCAAGGGACTAACACCTGGACTGTGGCATGCCGGAGCGGGATCCATGGCAAAACTCCCATGGAAAATTACACAGTTGATGCAGAGTCTGGTTTTAATCCATAAAGGGCAGAAATCACCTAACATTCCTAAATCACAATGGATATGGATTGATAGCTGACATATGACATATTGACACAGAGCAGAATAGGGACTGTTCCCCCTACATAGGGTCACTTGGCAGGTATGGATTGACACCTGTCCTCAGAGCCCCTGATACACACTGACACAGAGCAGAATAGAGACTGTTCCTCCTACATAGGGTCACTTGGCAGATATGGATTGACACCTGTCCTCAGGATCCCTGATACACACTGACACAGAGCAGAATAGGGAATGTTCCCCCTACATAGGGTCACTTGGCAGATATGGATTGACACCTATCCTAAGGATCCCTGATACACACTGACACAGAGCAGAATAGGGAATATTCACTAAATGCCAAACATTGTTATACAGGGGAATATTCAGTAAATAAGGATAAGGGGGGACCTACTGTCCTCCCCCCCGGCCCCCACCCCTGCACGGTGGGTGGGGGCCATAAATCTCAATGGGGGGGGACCTACTGTCCTCCCGCCCGCCCCCACCCGTGAGCGGTGGGTGGGGGCCATAAAAATAATGAGGGGGGGGACCTACTGTATGATGTTGTATCGATCAGGTAGTGTAAGGGTTACGCCCACTTCACATTGACAGACCAAACTCCCTGTTTAACGCACCGGAAACAACCGCAAACAGTCCATTTGCACAACCGCAAACTCCCCATTTTCACAAGGTTGGATACCAAGTTAGCCATGTCCCGTTCCTTGTCCTCACTGATGTCATTGAAGGTCTCTTCCTCCACCCAGCCACGTACAACACCAAGGGTCCCCGAAAGGTGACAACAAGCCCCCTGGGACGCCTGCTGTGTTTGGTCTTCCACCTCCTCAAAGCCACCTTCCTCCTCTGACTCCTCTTCTTCAGACTCCTCTCTCTGCGTTGCCTCTCTCTGCGTTATTATAAGGTGTGTTAAGTAGTATTATTCCTATCAGTTTAATCCCTGTTACGTCCCCCAGGGGACGTGTATATGGCATCGATTTTAGGAACCGGGAGATGGAAAAAGATGCTTGGTCGGTCCTCCTACTTCAAATTTGGGGCACTGCGCATGCAATCTAATGTGCCACCAGATAGGAGTGGTGTGTTAAGTAGTACTATTCTTATCAGTTTAATCCCTGTTACGTCCCCTATCCGTTGATGTGGAGCAAGACGCAGCAGCAGAAGAGGACTCAGCCGAGGAGGTGGAGTAGGAGGAGTAGAGGAGGTGGCGGTGTCACCAACTCCTCTGCAGAGCCACGCATTCCATGCTTGGCAGCCGTCAGCAGGTTTACCCAATGCGCAGTGAAAAAAGTTTTTTGGTTTTTAAATGCACGCTATTGTGACACCAGTGAGTGAGTGGTGGCACTGGGCAAGTGGGCACAGTATACGCTGCGAGCCTGACACACACAGACGCTTGCAGACAACTAACTGCTATTCAATTTATTACAGTGAAAAAAGTTTTTGGGTTTTTAAATGCATGCTATTGTGACACCAGTGAGTGAGTGGTGGCACTGGGTAAGTTGGCATAGTATCCACTGTGAGCCTGACACAGAAGCTGGCAGGCAGGCAACTGCAATTACATTACACAGAAAAAAAAAAAAGAAAAAAAAAGCAGACTGATGTTATAGCCCTAAAAAGGGCTTTTTGGGGTGCTGTCCTTACAGAGATCAGATGAGTATTTCAGGACTGTAGTGGACACTGTATACACTAACCTAGCTATCCATTTACCTATCAAATCAATAGCAGCTACACTTTCCCTCCTCTCACTAAGCATGTAGCTTGAGAATGAATCTAAAATGGATGCTGTCCAGTAGGTGGGAGGGTCTGCTAGGGAGGGTGTGCTGCTAATTTGCTGGAATGTGTCTGCTGACTGTGAGGTACAGGGTCAAAGTTTACTCAATGATGACGAATAGGGGGCGGATCGAAACGCGCATATGTTCACCCGCCGTGGCGAACGCAAACATACTATGTTCGCCAGGAACTATTCGCCAGCGAACCGTTCGGTGCATCACTACATATGAGGAAAGGGTTTTAGGGGTGATTATTTCTGATCTTAAAGGTAGGCAGACAATGTAATAGAGCAGCAGGAAATGCTAGCAGAATGCTTGGTTGTATAGGGAGAGGTATTAGTGGTAGAAAGAGGGAAGTGCTCATGCCATTGTACAGAACACTGGTGAGCAGGGCCGCCATCAGGGCATGACAACCATAACGGTTGTCATGGGCCCGGTGGTCCTGGAGGGCCCGGACTGCTCAGGTCGTCCCAGGTCCCACATTCAGTGGCGTACATACCGGGTTGCAGGGGGGCCTGCGACCCGGTATGTACCCAGTGTGGCCAGCCTTTTCTCCTGGGCGGCCCAGCAGCTGGTCACCTCATGGCCCCCCGAGGCTGGCCCTGTTACCCGGCGGGCGCGCGAGGGAGCACTCTCCCTGGCTGAGTGCTTCCTCTTCAGATGACGTCATCTTCCGGCTCTGGCATCAGTATGCGGCGCATGAAGGAGCTGAAGAGGACCGGCCGCCAGGTGACACCACTGGACCCCAGGGAATCCTCTCAGCACTCCCAAAGGTAGGGAGGCTGGGGGGATGAAATTAAAAAAAAAAAAAGTGTGTGTGTGTTAGAGAGTGTGTGTTAGAGAGTGTGTTAGTGAGTGTGTCAGTGAGTGTGTCAGTGAGTGTGTCAGTGAGTGTGTCAGTGAGTGTCTGTTACTGAGTGTGTTAGTTTGTGTGCGTGTGTTAGTGAGTGTGTGTTTTGTGAGTGTGTGTATGTCTGTCACTGAGTGTGTGTCAGTCAGTAAATGTGTATGTCTGTTAGCTAGTGTGTATGCGTCTGTTCGTGAGAGTGTGTGTGTGTCTTAAGCACTTGCCTTTCTCCAGTGCCGGACTCCCTTGGCGCTGGGGATCTCTCCGCCCTGATCCGCCTCTCAGCTCCGAATGCGCATGCGTGGCAAGAGCCGCGCGCGCATTCAAACCGCCCATAGGAAAGCATTACTCAATGCTTTCCTATGGACGTTCAGCGTCTTCTCACTGTGATTTTCACAGTGAGAATCGCAGAAGCTCCTCTAGTGGCTGTCAATGAGACAGCCACTAGAGGCTGGATTAACCCTCAGTGAAACATAGCAGTTTCTCTGAAACTGCTATGTTTTGAGCTGCAGGGTTAAAACTAGAGGGACATGGCACCCAGACCACTTCATTGAGCTGATGTGATCTGGGTGTCTGTTGTGGTCCTTTAAGTGTATCTGCATGCACTGGCGTACATACCGCAGTCGCAGGGGTGCGACCAGGTCCCCGCCGTCATGTGTTACGGCCCCAGCCCGCGCAGAGTAAGCGTGCGGGGGGGCACGGATCAGTTTTCGCACCAGGGCCCCTTGGGTTGTGTGTACGCCACTGCCCACATTAGCTATGTGCACACATATATAGTGATTAACGCTACATATGTGGGCACTGCGGGCCCCGCGCTACCAGTATTCTGCAGGGGGCCCAGCACACTTGAAATATACTGCCCAGATGCTCTGCTCTGTCGAAGTCTCCAGAGCGACGCGATCGTCAGAGTGTTGCCATTGCAACGCTCCGCACGGCTCGCAAGACTTTGACAGAGCAGAGCAATATATTTCAAGTGTGCTGGGCCCCATGCAGAATACAGGTAGCGGGGGCTGCACCATTCCTCAGGACCTCCGGCTCCAGCCAATGTGATCTCCCCCCTCCATGGCCACAGGAGGGGGGGAATAAAACAATACAATTAAATGGATGGGAAAAAAACTGTAGGCTTTTCCCCCCACCTTTTGCAGCCCCATACATTTACACACACTATACACTAATATTTACACACACTATACACTAACATTTACACACACTATTTACTAACATGTATACAAACTATACACTAACATATACACACAATATTCACTAAAATGTACACACACTACATCCTTACACAAACACACACTCTGGAGTCACTACACAAACACACACACACACACACACACACACACTCTGCAGTCACTACACACTACATCCTTACACAAACACTCTGGAGTCACTACACACACACACACTACTTCCTAACACAAACACACACTTTGTAGTCACTACACACACTACATCCACTACACAAACACACAGTCTGCAGTCACTATACACACATTAAATACTTACACAAACACGCTATGTAGTCACTATACACACACTACATCGACTACATAAAGACACACTCTGCATCCACACACTGTATTCACTAAACACTACATCCACTACACACTCTGCATTCACTACACACACTACATCCACTACACAAACACACTCTGCATTCACTATAAATACACACTACATCCACTACACAAACACACTCTGCATCTAATATACACCTCATACATTACACAAATGTACAATCTGCATCAACTATACACACTGCATCCGTTAAACAAACACTGCATCCACTTAACACACGAACTCTGCATCCACTACACACATTCTACATCCACTATACACACACACCAGAATCAGTACAGACACTGCATCCCTGTGGGCGGACTCAGGGGGAGGGCAGCACTTTGGGCTTACTCAGGTGCAGGCACCGGGGGGCCCAGACCTTGAGCTGTGTCAGGGGCCCCAAAATTTCTGATGGCAGCCCTGCTGGTGAGACCTCACTTGGAGTATTGTAAACAGTACTGGAGACCATATCTTCAGAAGGATATTGATACCTTAGAGAGGGTTCAGAGAAGGGCTATATAACGGACCGTTTTGCACACAAGGGGTAAAAACCGTTTAGGCGATCGTCCCCTTTCAGAGATGCAGGCACAGCTACTGTAGAACACCAAACTCACGAACCGCATGTAAGGGAATGCTCCAAACTCCCACACATACAATATAACACTCCAAACTCACGAACTGGAACCATACGAAACATTAAAATGGCCGCAACGTCGTGTTCGTTATACAAATGGCGGCCACCCAGTATTCATCAATTAAGCTGCGGTTAACCGCAGCTTCTGGGAGGCTAATTTCCGGCACACTCCAGCTCCCAGGTGGTCTAGTCATTCGTGCGTTTGTTCTGTAGATTGAATCTACCGAACACCGGGCAGAAAAGCACGAATAAGTCTTTTCTGCAGGGGAAACAAAGTCTTTTAACACGGGGCCATAATCCAAAGGCAGCAGGTGAGCAACCAGGCTTCTCCAATGCAATGTGGTGAGATTGCTCTCGTCACACCCTATAAAAAACCAAAGAAATCTCTGCTAGCTTTCTCTGAGGTACTAGAAGCATAGAAGCATATAGCCGATGTTAATACTACAAGCTGAATGTTACAAAAACGCAAGCTATGGGAATTAACATCCCTTGAACATCCTTAAACACCTTCAAACAGACCTTCCAATATGATTGGAGGACTGATCGCCTAACTTTTTTGGGGATCAAGCTTACAGCCTCCATGACTAACCTGTTCAAGGTAATCAAGGTAAAACACGCTTAGGTAGCTGGAACAACAAATTTATATCATGGTCGGGTCGCATGGCCGCTGTTAAGATGGTGGTACTCCCTAAATAACAGTATCTATTTAAGACTCTCCAAATTAGAATTCCAACCCATTACTTCACAGAATCGCAGCAAACCATTAACAAGTTTGTTTGGGCTGACAAAAGACCACAGGTTTCAGCATCCATCCTACACTGCCACTTTACCAAGGGAGGAATAAGCCTAACGAATGTAAATCTAGCAACCAACATCAGCCCGTTGGCGACGGCACAGACACATCCACCGTAGCCCCCCACAGTGGGTGAGTCTTGAATTGACTGTAGCACAGGGACACCACTTTTCGTCCATGATGTGGCTTCCCATTCATCTTCAACTATGCCAGCAATGCAGATATGGAACACGCACTGGCATAAATATTGCTCACATGGATTATACTTCCCAGCAATGCCAATCTCTACCCTCCAAACCGTAATCCCCAATTTTAATGTCTGGGAATCGGGGAAAGCATAGCATCTGTTATGTTTACCAGTTACTGCAAGAAAACAAAGTCATAGAGTTCACACACCTCCAGCAACAATACATCCTCTTAAATGTAGTATACTTTTCCTATTTGCAACTGAAAACATGGTTACTTAAACATTACATCTCTGTGTTTACAAGTGTACATGGTCAACAGCTGACGTGTTTTGAGAAAATACTCAAACAAGCACC